AAGTGTGTGCATATATATCGGCTGTATTCATCATTAGTTTTTATCGAGTAGAAAGGTGTGGGTGTGGGGTGTCAGTGTAGGGTGTGAGTGTGAGTCTTCTCTTCAGCAAGCATATCCACGTCCACTCACACCTCATTCATACCCACACACATCCGCCCACACCCATACCCATACGCTTGTCTCTTGACGACAGTGTCAATATTTCTTTCCGGAATGAGTCATATCATGAGTTGACAGAATCGGTTTCATTCCATGACTCAATGAAAATCGTATTGGTGACAGATGCATCAGTATTTTTCAACAATAGTGAGAGAAAGTGGTTCAAATAGTCTTGTTACTATTATTATTTATGATCATTAAATATTCGATCGAATATGTTTATAAAAGATTACAGTAGGAAAAAAGAAACCGAAGCTGACTGTGTCATAGAAATATTCGAGGTCGTGTATGAGACATATGGTTTCATCTCGTGAAGAAAGGTCAAATAATCATCGATAGGTAATAAGATATGATGTATGGCACTGAGGGTGTGGGTGTGGATGCGGGTGTCATTTCTCTCTTTACTCACACCCACACCCACCCACACCCCACACCCACACCCTCAAGCAGACTTTTATATTGACTTATTTTATACAGAAACATATAATGTAAATATTTCGCATGCACTCCCATAAGATTTACTCAGTGTAAACTTTTTATTAAATTTTTCTACACTTACATGAAAAATTAAATTTATAAATTATATTGGAAAAATAATTATAAAGCATGTGTAACTTTTTTGCTACTATAGGGTTCAAACGGTTAGTAAGTTAAAAATAGTCAAAGAATTATCGAATGAAAGCATCTTACCAAACGATCTATTAATGGATAGTACTAGAAAACCTTCAGTCTTTATTTTAGCAAATATCAATCGGTCGTACATGATATTTTAACTGTTCTTATAATTATCATTGATTTGAAATTAACTAGGCGTGATATTGAATAAAAAAGAAATTTTGCGTTCGAGCATATATCAGTATGTTATAAAGAATCATTAATCATAACCAAAAAATGGCCTTCAAAGTGCGTCAAAACCATTCTGCACTCATTTATATCGAAAAATTTTTTTGAATGGGAATTACAATTGTTTTTCTTCTAAATTCACCATTGACATTGATTATTGTTTTCAAATCATCTTTTAACTCATCAAATGAAAAAAGAGCTCTTAGCGCAATCCCTGTAGGATTAAAATGTGAAACACGATCAAACTACGTACTTACATTGTAAGCGAGAAGAGACTATAGTGCCTATTAGGGTTTGTGACAGAGAGAAAGCGTTCCTAAGATATCTGCCAGTCACTGATGAGTTGTTACTGAGGTGTCGGTCACGGTCTGGGGATTCAAATTTCTACTCTATATACTTCAATACTCCTTTTAGATCGTGTTTCATGAAATACTGAGTTTATCTATAGAAATAAAAACTCCATAAGTATAATATGATTGACGCAGATTAGATTCTGTTAAATATAGATATGAACATATTCTCTATGGAAATATATATTTATCCAATTTCTAGATTGTTGCATTGAATAAAGTTAAAAGTTGTCTATCACATATTTAATCGTTTAAATAATTAAACGACATCTTTGAATAAAAAGAAAAAGCAGAAAAGATTGGTTTCATTTGATGTCCATCCATTTGGAAGAAATATATTTGATGATTCATTTTGATTTGCTTACTATTCTGCTTCGTCTTCAGACCGGAATAATCATTTAGATCGATTAATGATATGATTATTCTTTTTATTCATAAGATTTCAGAGTAATAAAAAAATTCTTTTTTTCGCACGTTAATTAGTTTATGATATAGAACAATTTTTTATTAATAATAAATATTAAATGAAAGAGAAATTACTAGGAGTGGAAAGTTACCGTTCCCAAACCGTTACCCGGTAACGGTAACTTCCCACTCCTAGACATTACTCGAATTTGGACACAAAAAATAAAAATACATAAAACATCAACTACAACGACAATTGAAAAAATTCAAAAGAATCGTTCTGTAAGTTGATTTTATAATAATTATTCAATAGAAAGAAAGATTTATGTTTTTATATATCTTACCCTAACATATTTTTTTCATTTATTGTAACATATAGAGAGGAAATTAGACTCTTTCTTTTTCTTTGTTCGACTATTCTTTCATTTACGTATTTTAGTTTTAGAGCCATGTAGTGGTTTGTATTAACAATATCCTTTATCAATCCGAGAACTAGGGAAAAAACGGTGTGGTTGTGGGTGTGGGTGTCGGTGCAGAACAGAAAGGATACCCACACCCGCCTGCCCACCCACATCCACACTCACACCCACACCCACACCCACACCCACCCACACCCCACACCCACACCCGCACCCACACCCACACCCACACTGTCGAGTTTCCAACTGTACTAGTAGTCTACCCTAACGATTCCAGCCCGTTTATCGATCGGCGAGAGAACCTGATACTTTCGTAATGGCAATATATCTCCGATATCATATAAAGGGATATTTTGACAATACACAAATTTCATGATCGATACAAGGAATAGCGATACACATGTGATGAAGGATGTATGTTAACTATTGAGACATATAGGCAGAATGACAACATAGATCTATCCATGACAAGAAGTCAACTGTTCATGTTCGAAGTTCGTTCTCGTCCGAGTTCGTACCTATCGTCTACTATTCGACTTCTAATAGAATTTTACCGTTGTAACTCAGGACTCCTGAAAAATCCTGCTTTTCCTACTTTTTTCGGATTTCCTTCTTTTTTTCCCGAAAATTTCTTCTCAAAATCCTTCTTTTTGACGACCACTGTACCAATTAATCTATCGCTTACACATCGTCTGCTCATGTCTATATTCTCTTTCTGTAGTCTATTGGATCTTTTTCATCCTCACTACCTCGTTGTATATACTGCCAGAGCAAAAGTCTAATAAAAGGTGCTAGATGAAAGCAAGATTGCATTCATCACAGTATTCTGTTAGTTTGAATTGCATTGTTATCATCATACTGACGCCAAATCGACGTATTCCTTCATACTATTCTCATTAGACTTTATTTTGTATTAACTGATCATCTTCGAAAATCAATCATTACCTCTCAATACATGCAAGGCTAGTGAATGATAATGAAAACAAGTATTCGAATGCTAATCCAGACTGCTGGAATACATGTTCCAACTGACAATAGCTCATTCTTTCATCATAACATTGATAGACGAATTGGAATATAGCACTCTTATTTGAATTTTATTCGCAGTATAATTCAAATAGGAACATGAAAAAATGGATGTGTACCAAACAAATTGCCGGCTGTTGTCAAATCATTCGGCAGTCTGTTGTGCAATATTGGAAGTTATGCACAAAAATACGATCCAACGTTATCAAAGTATTTGCAATAAGAACAACACAAGACTGTACCCGAATAACAAGGATAATAGCTTGCATAGCACATGCGTGCTTGATTGTAGAAGGCATTGTTCGAGCCACTTGGAAGCACATTCGAATCACCAAATTGAAATAGACCGAGAAGAACCATCATTGTTATGAATACAATGTGTTTCATCATTTTTCGAGAAAAATTATTATTAATCGTGTTATTCTTTAAAAAATAGCATGAATCGATTCTATTTATACCACGATGGAGATTTATTCACATGTGATCGTTTCTCATGAATAATCTTATCTCATATGACGAAGGTTTTTATATGACGTGCCAAATATTCGCGGAAAGCATAGACTATATCGCATAATCATCTCTTTTGAAGGACGATTTCACTTTTGAAAATTTAATGCCTATTTCTTAAGCAATTTCGTTTTTTCGCCGAACTTTATTATTATTGTGACAACAGAAATCTCTCTTTCAAAAGATAAGTTATGATTCACAATCTATCCAATCAACTGATTGACTTAGTCTGGCCTGAGGAAGAACAAGAAAAAAAAATGTGAATGCCTTGCGATTTTTTTATCCATCATTTTTAAGTAGCAGTTTATTTTTCTAAAGGTCGATCGTTGGGTACCACCCAGTCTAGTCCTACCATGGTTATTGCATTAGTGAACCTTATTGATAAAATACGAAGAATAAGAGAAATGTTTCTATATTTATTTTTTCGCTCGTTTTCTTTTTTTCTGCTACTACATCTCTAAATCATTCTTATTGAGATTTTTACGTTTATTTCTAACTGGTTGATTTCTTCTGCATATTTATATGTAATATTGTATCAATTGATTGCACTAACTAACATCTCATCAGTTTCTATCATTGAAATACACTAAACATTTGCTTTCATCCAAGTGTGATTCTGTTTCTCATAGAAAAACATACAGTATCTAACAAGATCGAAATATATCTAATGTTCAAGCATTCTTTTTGATGAAATATTTTGCTTATCTAAATGAAAATATTGTAAAGATAGGGTGTGGGTGTAGTTGAAAACGAGACTACACCCACACCCACACCCACGTTCACCACACCCACACCCACGTTCACCACACCCACACCCACCTCCACCACACCCACACCCACACCCTAAGTACTTGAATTCTCTAACTAGCTCGATTTGTTCTCCGTTCATTGTTACATTTATTGTAGGTTTTTTTACTTACGCATGAAATAATTGTGCCACCGCTTTAGTCACATTTATTAGTTGCTTCCATTTCTTCGAGTATGCATATATTTCATTACGGATTCGAGTACTTTCTTTCTCTATATATTGAATCATTTGAGCTAGTTTCTTCAGAAACGAAGGCTTAATTAAAACACTTAGATCGTCTGCGAAAAATAAGAATGTATTGCGAAGTACTTATGAAATCTTTCGCAATTTTTTTTTCTATGACTCATATTTGTATGAGGATTACCTATGGTGAAAAAAGAATTTCATCATATTTCTTGACAGTATTTCAACAGCGAATTTGTCTGTATTGATTCCAATTTCAATTAAAATATCTTTGTCAAGTTCGAATTCGAATTAAATCGTATGGCTACCTCAACTTCTACCGTCTCAAGATTTTCACGTAAAGTTGCATTACTTATTGGAAATCAAAATTATTGTCAAATTGAAGATAGACTTCATCATACAATAAATGACGTTAATGACATTAGTGCTGTATTAAGAAATATGAATTTTCATGTCGAAAAAAAACATGATTTGAATAATTCAGAAATGATTTGTGCATTTTCGAACTTTTCAGGTAAAATTATTGATGGAGATTTAATTGTATTCTATTTTTCCGGCCATGGATGTGAAATTAATGGAAGAAATTATTTATTACCTATCGATGATGACTTAATTGAAACTGAGGAAGATTTGGAGAACTATGCGATTAATATTGAACATATTCTTCATCACTTATCACAAAACTATTCATCTTCTATAATCATACTTATATTAGATTCTTGTCGATTACCTTATCCATATAAGAAAATAAAACGAAATGGTAAAAATGAGTTCTGATGTGCTTTAAAAATGTATCATATCTAATTTTATTTAGCTAAATGTAAAAGTACTAATCTGCATAATATGGAATTACCTGATGGTACGTATATTGTCTTTGCTTGTAGTCCCTATCAAATTGCTTCTGATGGTTTATTAACTGAAAGAAATGGATTATTTGCTAAACATTTATTAAAACATCTAACGAAACCAAATAAAGATATAACACAATTATTTCGAACTGTAACCAATGGTGTTTGTATTGAAAGTAAACAAAAACAAAAACCAACACGGATAGATGGTCTCAAGGGTTTAGAACCTGTTTATTTGAATGAAAAATCTATTAATGTAGATAATGGCAAGAAGAAAACGAAATCCAGAGAAAGATCACTTCTACAATAAACAATACTTGTGTTTCAACTCGATCAATACAATCGTTGTGACTACGATAAAATCCTCCTATACGGATACATTGAAATTGAACAATCAAAATAGCAAATTTTTTTGCAAATCTTTTGTCTGTTTATTTCCTGAAGAATATAACCTAATTGAATGACACAAAGTAAATGAATAAATCTGATAACAGACATAATTCTGTTTACTTCAGGAATTTCAATCAAAAGACAGACCGATTTATCTTTTGATGAAAAGACAAACACAATCTGCTAGTCTCAACTCTTACTTTTCAGCAATCGATTTATATGTCGAAATAAAAATGAAATTGAAATAATATGCGTATTAAATCAAGATGAATGCTGAGTTTTAATTTCATCGACGCGCTTCGTATTGTTTATTTGTTGAAAATTTAAACACTCACTAGGGCTCTGCATTACAAAAATGCATAAAAATCAAAATCAAGAACAATTAGAAGAAAGGATTAAGGGAGAGAAGATAGAATAACAAAAACAAAGGAAAAACTAGGCTATGGGTGTGGGTGGATGTAGTATTATTCAGCGGCTACATCCACACCCACACCCCTTTCAATTATGATATTGAAAAAGCACATCATTCACCAAGTCATCTTCATGCTATTTTTCTACTGTCTGATAAGATAGTTATGCAGTGTGCCATGAATCTTTCTTTTTTTTTCTGTTCTATTTCGACGAACCAGTTTCGTTTTCATCTTAGTTAGATATCTAATCATATTCGTGCGTTGTTTAGTCATCCAGTGACAAACGTTTCTTATCTTCTGTTATAGATATTTTAGAAAGACTTTTCCTTATTGTTCAAGTTATTTCTTAACAACTCGTAAAATGAATTTTAAATTTTTGAAACTCGAGTTTCATTTATTCTAACTAGCAGCTTGGTTTTCGCTTGTTCTTCACTCTTCTCGAACTTTTATTTGTTCTTCCAGAAATCATACTGAAGTAAGCAGCAATACATTACATTGAGGAGAATTTTTACATTTCAAAAGATTTAGACTGATATTTCTATGTGTAATTATTAAGATTGAGTCTCTCTTTCCATGTCATCTATCACACTATGCTGTCGTGTTCTTCTCCAAATATTTATTTCAATCATATGTATTCCTCCATAGTACTCCGTTGTCATTCCTTTCGATATGTGTATTGACGATATTGTCTTTTTTTTCTGGAGTATCTTGAAAACTTCACATAGTAGGTCAAATTCGTCAATAGATCATGTGTAAATTTATAAATCTCATTGTTGCCGAGAATGATTTCTTTGAGATTTCGTCATTTTTCTTCCCATTCAATGATCTTATTTTTGAACCAGAGTCCATCTCTTATAAATATTCTTACATTTCTCGATTTTTCTGTTCGATATCTCGTTCTCTTCGATTTCTATCACCTCCTAATTATCTTTTCATATATAGTGGCGTGAATGTGGGTATGAAACTTGTATTTATCTGTCTTCATACTCTACACCTATCGTACGCTTTTATCACTTATGAAAAAATCAATATTGTATTTTTCTCAAGGAATTCTTGTTGTTTATAACTGAAAGTTTCCGAATACACTAAGTAATAACAGGTGTATCTGTAGTATAAATATGAGACCATGTGATACTAGTGTGAAGAAGCAGTTCAAAACTATATTGATTTTTCGTAATTTATGAAAGGTGCAATTCTTTTCTGAAGTCATTAATAAATACTTCAAAACAATCTTTAACAATATTTCTTATATGAATACTTCTTTGATCAATGGTAAATATATCGGCTTATTTGGTTGAAATATGTCGGACATGGGTGTGGGTGTGGGGTGGATGTGAGTGTGGGTGTGAGTCTTTCCTACTACACTCACATCCACCCACACCCACACCCACACCCATACCCACACATCCACACCCACCAATATATGGAGAATTTAAACCGATGATTAAGTTTTTAGAAGAAGAAGGAACAAAAATATGTAACAAGATAGCGGATTATTCCAGGATGTGGAAACAACCAGTTAATTTGTCCAAAACTGTAGTGCAGGTTTTCCATTCACAAGTACAAGATTCAGTAGTTGATGCTTATATGGAGGATCAAAGACTAGAAGTAGTTAAAGAGTTCAAATATTTAGGCTTTACTTGAACAAATAATATGTCCTTAAAACCAAGGATTGATAGAACCCTTGAAAACATTCAAAGAACATTTAGTAAATTAAGATGGATGAAAAGCGGTAAGACTATCTCAACAGAGGTCCGGCAAAAATGTTTTTTTGCTTACAGTTTTTCATATTTCCCCTATATCCATTCCTGCCCAAATCTCAAAAAGAAGTACTTTTAAGAAAATTTAGAAACGGATTAAGAATGGTTCATCGCTGTTCTTTTGCAAGAGCAACAGATCTTCTTCAGATAACAAATGAAAAGTCATTAGAAGAGTATGTTAAAAAATATATGTTGCAGTTGAGTTTGGAATCTAGTTCAGATTGGAATCACTTAGTTCACTTTGTTTGTTTAAAAATTTTTCTAATACATTCAAGAAAACTTGTTTGTTTCTTGTCAAATTTATATTTAGTATTACTTCTCGAACGATAAAAAGTATCTTCGTACCGTTATTTTGTTGATGAAAAACCATTAGTCATTCTATTTATTGTTTTCTTCTAAAAGTAAATGTTACTCATCATTTTCCTTATATTGTAGTTTCTATATCGGTAGTCGGGACATGGGGACACTGAACGATTGGTTGAAATGAAATCGAGAGTACTTGAGCTATTTGTTTCTATAGAATAGATTTCTTTGTTTTCGAGCTGCGGGACATAGGGATATTGAATGATTGGTTGAAACGAAATCGAGAGTATCTGAGTTATTTGTTTTTAAAGAATAGACACTTTTCTCGAGTTGCGGGACATGGGGATTTTGAATGATTGGTTGAAATGAAATCGAGAGTACTTGAGCTATTTGTTTCTATAGAAAAGATTTTTTTCGAACTGCGGGGCATGGGGACATTGAATGATTGGTTGAAACGGAATCGAGAGTACTTGAGCTATTCGTCTCTATAGAATAGATTTTTTTCGAGCAGCGGGACATGGGGACATTGAATCATTGGTTGAAA